TAATAAAAATTGTGGTGTAATTTACCCATATCTTTTTTTTGGAGGATAGTAGGCATTACTTTCCCTTGGGAAAATTAGGGCATGTACTTCTATTTCATCAAAATTTTGAAAAGTTCTTTCAAACTTGAATTTTGTCACTAGATACGATTTTTTTACCAAATATTCCAACGTAAATCTTTTCAAGTCCAACCAACTTCATAATCCTCATTCCATTCTCTATTCCCTTTGCTCCAAGATTCCCCCAAGTGCACCAAGATCCCATTGCAAACAAGATGTGTAGTGAAAAACTGAAAAATTCAGCACTATGACCATATCTCACCCTCCCACCCACCATATGCTTCCCTGCTAATATCCTCAGCAAAGTTGTTTTCTGTGTTCAACAAAAAAGTGAAAAAATTAAGACAATTAAAGTTCTCAGTAAAAAATGAACCAGATCCATATGCGTCGACAAGGAAACACCAAGATCCGACTGAGAAATTGAGGTTGAAATAGAAGAATGAAAGGGTTTTGTGATATGTGAGAATTGCATGCCAATCACTTGTACACTTGTGTAGTATGATTTTTTTTTCCAATGAAGTGCTTATTAACGACGATATTGAATAGTTGAAGAATAATATTGAAGTTGTTGAATATTTGAAGGATGATGTATCACTTTATTGAACTGATTCCATTATTTTAATTGATGTTTTGTCATTTTTTTGAATTTGTCACTTTTATTTAGTATTTGTCACTTATTTTGAATACCTATCACTATTTTTTTCATGTTCGTCATTATTTTTTCTTTGTCATTTTTTTGAGTGACAAATATTACTTTTTAATAAAAGTAACATTGTATATCAATCTTTAATACAAAATTGACACTTAACTTTAAAAAGTGATATCGCGTCACTTTATTTTTTATTGAAAATGGACACTTTATTTTACATAGTATTTTTTATTTCCAAAATACTTTTCGTGTGATATTTTAAAAGACTCATAATTTTAAGGGTATGTTTGTAAATTGCCATTTTTCCTTTTTATATAGTGTGTGGGCCAATATATTCAAGCCCAGTATATTATATTATGGCCTAATATATTTAGGAGTGTCAATGAGTCGAGTCGAGTTGAGTCGAGCCACGAGCCAAAACTCCAAACTTGGGCTTGACTCGAGTAAAAATGGTTTGGGCTTTTTTTTGCCCGAGCCGAATCAGCTTTTGTTTGGCCAAAAAAATTTAAGCTCGACCCAGGCCTTGATGAGCTGAGCTGGGCTCGAGCCGATCCGGCTTGATTTTTTTTCTTTTTCTCATTCTTTTTTTTTAATATTCACAGCTACCTGCGTTTGTCAAAGCTACCTGAGTTTTTACATCTGCCTGAAGTATTTATTTTTTTAACTTTTTTTAAAAAATTTGGTTGAGTTGACTTGGCTTGACACGGGCTAGCACGTGTGGTTCGACGGCACGTGTGGTTCCTGCAAAATCAGAGTTCTATTACTTGGAATCCATAGCTCGAAATCTCTAACGAAATTCATCTAATTTCCATCTCTCGAGTAATAGAAGAATCAAAAAATGGTATGTAAACTATTGTATTCTTGCTCTATTGTTTTAATTGCTCATTTATTTTTAGGGTTAGGGTTGTTATTTCTATATGTTCTCTTTTATTAAGATTTTTCGACGTATTTTTCTTTTTTCTTTTTATTTTCACGATCAGAAATCATATTTGATGTATTGGATTTGTTCTTGATAGTGTTTTAGGTTTCAACAATTTGTTAATCAGCGGGGATCGTGTATTTTGCTTTAGAATTTTACAGAATAATGTAGAAATTGGTTGGGTTCCGTGAGGTCAGTGGCGTCTTTTTATTCACTTGCAAAGGGGTTTGAGATCCTATTTTCATCCTTTTTTTTTTTTAAAATAAATGTGTAGCGGAAAAAGATGTCCATTTTGGGTTTATTTCATCAAGAGTTGTAACATCAATGATGTTGACCGATTTTGTTAGCACAAAGCAGGGAATTTTTTCTTTATTTAATGTTTGAGAAATAATCTTTGTATTTAATGAGACTCACAATTTTTCAACTACATACATTTCATTATCTTTTATCAAAATCTATAGAAAATTTAATTTTAATCGTCACCAAACTGGAGCTTAATATTCAATTCAAAACAACCAAATAATAACTAACTTTAACTCTAAATCAAAAGGAAAATAAAAACCTTAACTTACTCCTGTAATCAAAAGACTAACTTTAATAAAACTAATCTAAATGAATCTCAGCCTAATCTAAATATAAAAATATTAGAATAAAGCTTCCTTGCCCGTAAAAAAACTGACCGAGGCTCTGATCTCCCCTCACATGAGCCGACCCCACATGAATAAAAAATTGCAAAAAAAAAAAAGTGGACCCCACCCCTATTGTGAGGGTCGGTTAGCCTCTCTGTTGAATTTTTTCTGGTATTGCAGCATGGTTCAAAATATTAAGAGGAGATTTGACCACTTAAATGTTAGAATTTGACCAAAAAATTAACGAATCTGCATGAAAATATCAGATAGCAACAACGATGATCGTGAGATTGGATTGGTTGTATCCCCGCTTTTATCTTGCATGTTATGTGAAATGATTTAATGTAATAAAAGTAATACGCTGACACATTGAAAAAAAAAATTAAATTAACTAGTATAGTGAAAATTTATAAAAATCACAATATTGTTACAAAGTAACAAGCTGTTGCTAGTTATTTTCAAAGTTTCCAAACAACAATTTGTTAACATGGACAAATTTGCTAATTTGCGTAACTATTGGGATCAAATTCACAGCAAGTATAAGTAGGGCTGGGCAAAAACCGACCGAACCCGCCGAACCCGCCGAACCCGCCCGACCCGACCCAACCCGACCGGGTTGGGTCGGTTTTTTTCAAATTTTTTTCTCGGTTCGGTCGGTTGGCAAGGCGGAGCGGGTCGGGTTGGGTCGGGTTGCGGGTTGACCCACCCAACCTGACCCAACCCAACCCGACCGACCAATTAAAAAAAAAAAACACGTTAAAAGAAAGGAAAACCCTAAAGTTGGACATTCATTTCCCATTCCTCCTCTTGGCTGACTTCTACGTTCTCATGAGTCTCTGCACCTATTTCCTCTCAAGAGACCGTCGCCGACCTCTCTCTTCTTCTCCCGTCGCCGACCTCTCTCTTTGTCTCCCTTCGCCGGCCTTTCTCTTCTTCCGCCGACCTCTCTCTTCGTCTCTCTTCGAGGAGATCTTCAAGGTAAGTTTTCAATTTTTTTTTATTGTGGACTTGTTTAATTAATCTGTTGATTAAATGAATAAATTGATGTTTAGAGCTAAGCTTCAAGAGCTGTTTGACGTGTTTCATTTCATAAATTATTCATGTTTGTACTTCAATTGTTTGTGCCATTGTTGCCCCTTTATGAGCTCATGCCATAGTTGCAGCTTATTTTTTTTTTTTTTTGAAAAAATAGTTGCAGCTTATTCTTGGTTGTGCTTACTAGCACCATGTTTAGTTCACCCCTTCATTTGGAAGCGGGGGTTGCGTGTGCAGAGTAAAGTCAGAACTTATTCCAACATAGCCTCAAAGGCTAGAATATGAAATTAAGGGGTTATCCAATTGACGCCACTTACTTTTGAGATGAGTTTTTGCCATGGTAGTTAAGGCTGTAGTTGTTGCTTGTATTGGCAGTGAGTCAGTGACTCCACATCGACCAATCATCTCAAAAGCAGTAAGAGTTGCTGAAATAGTCCAAGGCTTCAACATAGTCCATAGATCCCTCTATTAATAAAAATTATCGATACAACCCGACCAACCCAACCCAACCCGACCGACACATAATTGGGTTGGGTTGGGTTGGGTTTCAACATTTACATGGGTTGGGTTGGGTTGGGTTGGATTTCGAGCAACCCGACTATGTTGGGTTGGGTTTGGGTTGGGGCAAAAACCGACCCAACCCAACCCACGCCCACCCCTAAGTATAAGCCCATGTTTGGTCGAAATTAAAATCTAATTTTAATTCAAGTCAAAGTCAAACAATCAATATCTACCATATTTTTCATGGGTCTCACAACTTTTCAACCACACATTTCAAAAACTTCTATCACAATTTACTAAAAATCTAATTTTTATATCCACCAAACACCTTATAAATATTATGGTTCAAAGTGAAAATTACTCCTCGAAAATTGCAAGCGCAAAGCGTACCTCTCCCGGCCAATTTCACCTAATTCACCTAATTTAGATATGGCAGCGGGGCGGGTTCAGGGCATCCGCCCTGCCCCGCGCCCCGCCTTAGACGGGTGGTGCAGGGCGCATACGAGTGCGGGGTGTGGGCCTGCCCCGTTTCCTGCCCCCCTCCTTTTTTTTTTCAAAAAATTTCAATTAAAATATAAATTCAAAATTTTAAAATCCAAAACAAATAATGCTCAAACTAATTACATTAATATTCAAAACAAACACTCGAAACAAACAATGTCCAAAATTAAACATTTGTAGTTAATTATTATTTTTATTCTTCACGGGGCGGGGGCCGCCCTAAACTGGCCCCGAGACCCGAGACGGTGTGGGGCGGGTTTTTTTCGCCATCACTCCTAATCATCAAACACCCCATACACCACCTCCATTTATTTGAATCTCATCGTCTTCCCAGAAATCAAACGAAGATCAACATTGAAACTGTAGATTTTGCTTTGTAAATTAATGGCTTTGTGTACTCCACCTGTCCTCGTACCGCAATTTTCTATCCCCAAAATTCCAAATTTTCATTATCTTCACCTCGCCAAATCTACTCAAAGAAGAAGAGGACCAAGAGCTTGTTTGGGAGTGATTTTTGAAGGAAGAATTGATTTTAAATAGTGATATGATGGGAAATGTGTGGTTGAAAAAGAAGAAAAAATTATTGATGTGATGGAAAATATTATTTTATTGAAGAATGTATGGTTGAAAATGAGAATTGATTTACTGTAGAAAAATCAAAATCCCTCCCAAACAGGACCCAAATAAAATCAGAGCTACGAATTTTTTCATGGCCACTGCAAATGCAGCTAAATATGGCCGTGATGATAAACCCACAAAGTTGGTCACTTTGTTGGGTAAAGGTGGCTTTGGAAAAACCACTGCTGTTATTTTTGCAGCTCAGGTATGCATTCAATACACTTTGTCTCACACTGTGCTTTATTTAATTTTAGCCTCTGTTTGGTTCGAATTAAAATCTGATTTTAATTCAAATCAAAGTCAAACAATTAATATTAACTATATCTTTCATGGACCCTACAATTTTTCAACCACACATTTCAAAAACTTTTATCACAATCTACTAAAAATCTAATTTTAATATCTACTAAACACCCTAGTTAGATTTTCAATTTCACTGGTTAAACTTTTGGGGAAAAAAATCATACATCAAGTGTATAATTTACACCAATTCGCAAATCAGGTTTATAGTTTAAAAATTCAAAATTCAGGTATATATATTATTAATTAAAAATATTTATTAATTAAATATAATAAAGTCACAGGTATACAATTAATGGTTACATATACATAATTATAGGTTACAATTTATTTATTGGTCATATATTATCAAATTAATTAATCACTGATGATTTCAAGGTCACAAATTCAAAAATTTATAGGTCGCGGTTAATTTCATTGGTCACATATTTTCAAATTTGTTGGTAACAGATTATTTTTCAGTCAAGTATTATCAAGTTTTTAGGTTGTTAAATACTTGGCCACAGATAATCAAATACTTGGTCACATACAACTGGCACTACCACTTCAGCCACTTTTGACCACCCTAACCCCGTCGTCGCCGTCACCAGCACGGCCAACAACATCACCACCAACAAACCTTCCACCACCACCAACCAGATGCCAATGGCGCTCCACCACCATCTAGTGGTCCTCACATCCACAACGACAAAAAAAAAAACAAAAACGTAGCACCGAACAACCACCACGCACAGCGTTGCAAACAAAGGCATTGCACAGCGAAGACAGAAGCCTGATGCCGATTCACAATAGAAACAAAAGCAGAAACAGTAGCCAGAGACGAGGAGGCCGTGGTGGCGTCTTGAGCGTCGAGCCACGACATCGGGGTGGGGTCTTCCGATGGTGATGCCGCTGCGCAAGGGCATCGCCACTATTGTTGAGAGAGAAAAGAACACCGCACCACAGACGCGGTAGCAGGATGAGGTGGTGTCATCTTGAGCATCGAGCCAAGGCATCGATGGTGGCATCGGTGCTCAGGGCGACGCCACTACTATTGAGAGAGTAGGAGAAGACAGGTGAGAGAAGAGAGAAAATGGAGATGATAGAGAAAGAAGAGATATCTTTTTTACTAATCCCAAACCCTGCAATTGGGTGACTTTGATTAATTGTAATATTAATATTAAAATATATAATTATTACCTGATCTGTGATTAATTAAAGTTTGCACCTGATTTATGAACAATAATCTTCAAATACCGACTATGTGTAATTTTCCCTAAACTTTTTGTTAGTTATTTGGATTCAGGGTGGACCCATTAAGGGTCCAGTGGTGGCACTCTTAGATTTTTTTCAATCAAAAAAGCCCAAGATTATTGTATCTTAATTTTTTGTGGTAATTACATGAAACCATACTTTAAGTTTTTAAACTTCAAAAATTAGATTGGAAGTTTAATATTTTTAAAATCAGATTTTTTTTAAAATTATTATAAATTAATATTTTAATAATAATAATATAAATTAATTTATATACACACATCTACCACCATCCAAATTCCAAACCCTAATCACTTATCTTCTCTCCATCTCCATCTCTCTCCTCGATCTCACCGGCGCCTGGCCCTCTCTTCATTGCCTAACTCCGAAGACAACGTTTCATCGGCAGCAATTGTAGTACTACACCAGGCGACATAGACCCAGCCCATTTTTCGTCTGCCCGGCAACGACGTTACAGATTTGTGCCATCTGTAGTGAGGCATCGCTACGTGTAGCTCCGCCTGGCCGCAGACGGCGATTTTTTGTTGCGGGGGAAGATGGGAGAATGGAGACTGAGAAGAGTGGTCTGGTGGCTATTTTTCATTGTGGTTTTTGATGTGGTCGCCGTTGAACCGAGTGATATGTTCGTGTTGCCTGCAAATGATGCTGTCTCCAGGTCAGTTTTAGGGAGAAAATGAAGTGAAGAGGGAAATGAAAAGCAATTTCTGAATCTATTGAGAGAATTTCTGATTTTTAGTATTTGGTTGGTGGTGGTTGTGATGGTGATGGTGGTGGTGGTCGTGATGGTGGCAAGAGGAGGGGGAGAAGATGGTGGTGGTAGTGGTGGTGGTGTGCTGTGGATTGTGAGCTGTGCTGTAGTGTTGTGGTGATGTGTTGCAGGCATCGTGGTGTGGTGGTGGGGGGGTTTGGCGGTGGCAGGGGGGCGATTTTGTGGTGGTGACGGTTGCTGGAGGTCATGGTAAGTTGGTATATTGTTTTGTGTGTGGTGGGTGTGGTCGAATTTGAGTTGGTGTATTGTTGTGGTGGCAGCAGTGACGGCGACGTGGCTGGTGGCAGTGATGACTCATGAGGTGGTGATCACAGAGGTGGTCACAGAAGTCAGTGATGGTCACGGGAGTGGTCACAGATGTCGGTGGTGGTCACAGAATTCGATGGTGGTGACCTTAAAAATTGTGGGCTTGTGTGGGAGGGATTAAAATCAGATTAAAATTGAAAATATAGCCGTTATTGTTGACTTTTATTAAACGAGTGGGACCCAATAACGGCCATATTTTCAATTTTAATTGGTTTTTAATCCCTCCCGAACGGGGCCTGTGACTAAAAATTAATCTATAACGGGGGTGGTCACAGAAATTAGTAGTGGTCACGGGGGTGGTCACAAAAAAATTCAAATGTGACCTTAAAATTGTGACTAAAAATTAATCTGTGACCAATAAATTTGAAAATATGTGATTGATAGATAACTATGACCTGTAATTTTTTGATCTGTGACCAATAAAATAATATGTGATCTGATTTATGACCTCGAAATAATTCATAAAAAATCGTGACCTATAAATTTTTTGATTTGTGATCTCAAAAATAATCTATGGCCAATTAATTATGTAAAGTTGCCGGAAAAATCATCGGAAAGTTCGCCGGAAATTCGTTGGAAAGTTCGTCGGAGTAAAGCTGTGACCGAAACAGTCACCGGAGCGGTAGGGGTAGTGAAGGTGGGATGGGTTAATTATATTATATTTGAATTAAATATTTAATAATAAATTAATTTAATAATTTATTATTTCATAAATAAAAATTTAAAATTTTTTAATAAAAATCTGATTTTGAAAATTTCAAACTTTTTTTCTTATTTTTGATATAGGCTAAACTTATTCTTTTGAATATGATATCTTCCCTAAGGGTCCGTTTGATTGTAAGGGTGGAAAATGGGTGGAAAGAAAATGTTTTATAGGAAATTGATTTTCATAGAAAATGTTTTATTGGGAATTGTAATTAATTATGTTTGATTAGTATAATTTTCCATGGAAAATGTTGAAAGTTTGGTATCCATTTGACTTTTTTTTATGAAATTTGTCCATTAAAGTGATAATTTTTTTTACCATTGGGTCTAAAATTTGTTCCAATTGTAAAAAAAAAAATTTTGAAAAAAAAATTTGAAAAAAAAAAATTTACCATACCAAATATTTTTCGTTTGACTTTGTTTTGCATGGAAGTTGTCAATAAAAGTGAAATTTTTTTAACCATTGTATCTAGAATTTGTTCCCATTGCAAACAACAAAAAAAAAGGTGGAAAATATTTTCCCACCAAATAGGTGGGAAAATAAAATCAAGCTTTTGTGCATCAAATGATTGTACCTAGAAAAATGTGAAAAATGTTTTCCTAGAAAAATTTGTGCTATCAAACACCACAATTTGAAAAAATTGAAATACGTTTTCCTACTTCCATGGAATTCCTTGGCTATCAAACATAGCCTAATTTTTTTTGTAATGAGAAAAGCCCATAGATTAATAGTGCCAACACAAGCCCAACATCTCCTTCCCTTCCCCCTTCCCTTCCCACTTCCCCGGCAGTTTCCCCCCTTCTCAAGCCTTGCGAAGTGCGAACTCATTACGCGATGCGATTCTCAAACCGTGCGAACTCAAAAATCGGCACTGCATCGTTCTTAAAGCTGCGTTCTCTCACGTCTGGGTAACTGGGTTTGCTTTCTTTTCTTTCATTTTGTTGTCAAGTGGATTTGCAATTATTTTTTCTGTTTGTGTTGAATGTTTGTGATAATGGTTTGAATTTTTAATGTTTGATATTTCAAGCGATTGAAGTAAATTTATTTGATTTCTGCAGTCATCGCTCGCTGCTGCAAGAGCAGATAATTTTTACTATCCTCCAGAAGCTCTCCAATTCTCACCCAAGGCCGTCTTTAACTGGTGAAAACAATCATTTATTTGCCAAATTAGCTTGAGATTCCAATTTGATCAGTTACGACCCTAATTCATTCCCAACGAAATCTCGTCCTGGAACGAGCCCTAGAATTCGATTTGGGAAAATTGCTTCTCTTCCAAATTCCAAAATCACCACATCAAATCCCCAATCTCCTATCCGCAATCATCCGTCATCGTCCCATAACCTGAACCCCAAATTAGCTTGAGATTCCAAAGCTCATCGAAACCTCCTCCCTCCGCCACCTCTCCCTACGATGAGCAGCAGCAAATCCCGTAACTTCCGCCGCCGTGCTGACGACGGCGACGACGATGGAGAAGAAGACAAATCATCTACCATCACCCCAATCAACGGCACTTCTACCACCACAAGAAAACCCTCCGCCATCAATAAACCCAAGAAAACACCCTCACGACCCCCAACCAAAAGCCTACTTTCTTTTGCCGATGATGACGACTCGTCGGAAACACCATTCTCTCGCCCTTCCACCAAATCTTCATCTTCGAGATTATCGAAATCAACACACAAGCTTGCCTCATCGAAAGACCGAATTGCTCCTCACCCTTCTTCGACCTCCCTTCCTTCCAATGTCCAGCCCCAAGCTGGCACCTACACAAAAGAAGCCCTCTTAGAGCTCCAGAAGAGCACCAAAACACTCGCTGCCTCCTCCCGCTCTGTTACTCGTGCTGAACCTGTGATAGTCTTGAAAGGCCTTGTGAAACCTGCAGTTCCGGATGACCCGAATCCTAAAGGTACCGGAAAACCCTTCGAGAATAATGGAGTTTTGACAATGGAGAATGATGATGCTGTGGCCCGGTTTGGTTCGATGGAGCTGGGGATGGATTCAAGAGAGGGTAAGGAGGAGATTCCGGACCAGGCAATGATAAAGGCGATTAGGGCGAAGAGGGAGAGGTTAAGGCAGGCCAAGGCTGCAGCTCCAGATTTTATAGCGCTGGACGGAGGTAGTAATCACGGTGCTGCAGAAGGGTTGAGCGATGAGGAGCCTGAATTTCGGGGGAGGATAGGGTTCTTTGGGGACAAGATCGATGGTGACAAAAAAGGCGTGTTTGAGGATTTTGAGGAGAGGACCGTGCCAAAAGATAGGGGAATTGGAAGTGGTGACAGTGACGAGGATGAGGAGGATAAGATGTGGGAGGAAGAGCAGGTGAGAAAAGGGTTAGGAAAGAGGATAGACGATGGCATTGGAAGTAAAGGAGTAAGTTCCAGTGTTGGCGGCGGTAGTGTTCATCAGAGCGTTCAGCAGCCAAGTTTGGGTTACTCGGCTACAGGGACTACTGGCGTGTATTCTTCGGTGCAGAATGTGGGTGTTGTTCGTAGTTATAATAGTATTGGAGGAGCAGTTGGGGCATTGTTTGGTTCAGATGTGATGCCGATAGCTCAGCAGGCTGAGCTCGCTAAGAAAGCCTTGCAGGAGAATGTGACTAGACTTAAGGTATGTATTTGTGATTTCATGCCTATACCCTTTTATAGTATTTCACTTTTAAGTTTGAAGATGGTAATTTTGTGCACTAGCGATGTCTGCTGCATCAGGTGTAGTTTCTTCTATATTTTGTGCTTGTACAAAAATATAACTTGCAATTCAATATGGATCCTTGTTTTAGGAATCTCATGGCCGAACCATGGCGACACTGGTGAAAACTGATGAAAATTTGTCTGCCTCACTTGTGAATGTCACTACCCTGGAGAATTCTTTTGCTGCAGCTAGTGAGAAGTTCCTCTTTATGCAAAAGCTTCGCGACTTCATTTCTGTTATTTGTGACTTTTTGCAGGTATGGACTGTTTGATTTACGAGTTCCACATGGTGACATTGTTAATTGATTTGCTTCTACATGCTTGCCAAATTTCAATGTGAAAATGATGTATTCTTACTTCATCTGATTTTGAGACGTATCTTAATCTACCGTGTTTATTTTAGTAGGACTGGCAACTTCATTATCATTAATTTATCATTTTAAACATTGAGCTTAGCTTCAATAGTCAATGTTTGGAAGTCCATCCCAGCTATATCTTGGTTATTGCACCGCTGAGAAACAAGCTCTAGTTCTCCCCATACTATGGAGATGTCTAAATAGAAAATGCCATGACGGCAAGAGCAGGGACATAGTGCAATTTTGGTATGGAAAAGCTGGATCGCCTATGAAATTCATTCAATTCAAAGTATGATACTATTCTAATAGACTGAAAGAAAAACTATGTAACACGTCTAAGATATCGTAAAACCGACCTTGTAAATATCCTACCAAAAGTTATTGGGAACAAGGGCAAGAACTATATTCACGGCCTACTAGTTACTTTGTGTAGCCATATTGTTACCCATGTTGGATGCTCTTAAGAGATAATTTGTTTTTACCATCAAAACTTTACTGGCCATTATACCTATGTATGATATAGCAAATTTTATCCTGCTTGAAAGTTTCTAAGGGGGGAGGGAGGGAGGGAGGGAGGGGGGGCTTCCATATTAGACTCATTTTACATTATTAGAATCGTTCAGGCAGAAGAAGAAGAAACGGAGTTAAAATAATTGAAATTTATTAAAAAAAAAATTGAAAATGAACTCCAACGAAGTTTCCACCAAGCTAATAGCATAGAGGAGATTACGGAGGACGATTAGATTCAAATGGGGTTTTGAGTTCAAATGAGTGAAATGTAAGAGCCAAATTTTTAGGTTTGGATTGTGAATGAGGCAGGCGGTTGTGAAGTCTGTCATAGGGGAAATACGTAGAGACAAAACAAAAGGTAAGGTTTCATAATGGAACCATTTACTTGGTCTGTACACCATTTGGAGCATCTCTAATGTATATTATGGATTGCTATTGAGGTAGCATCCAAGTTGAAAGACTTCCAATCTGACATGGTCCAAAATTGGTCTCCAATAGGTTCTATCTATAACCCAATAATTGTGTCATGTCTTAAATTTTCTTAAAACAAAAATAAAACCACATCCAAATCTAGATAGAAAATATAAATTTGGAGAGGAATTATGATTTTTTTTGCTGAGTTAGCATGTCTAACAGAGCTTCTGAATTTAGTAGAAATTCTAGACTGTCTGGCCTTTTCTTTTCTACATTAGCTTGACATAGTCCATGTTAGATTGCAATGGAGAGGATTTATTTTTTAATCATTGTCTATTTTTGCTTATGTGGCAAATTTATTTTAGCAATCCGCGGAAACATTGGAGGTGCTCATAATACTGGTGTAAGGCCATTACTGTACCTTAACTGCACTTGCATAGTTACACCAAACATATGACATTGAATTATCAAACAATTAAAAAAACCAAGGAGGTACCTCCCTTTTGATCTAAATTAACATATATCTTTCTCCAGTTCGCGTGGTTAATGTTGATCAAAACTGAAAATAAATATTATATGTAATGGAAAACAAAGCATTAAACAAAGAAAAAAAAATTAATAAGTTGGTGTTATCATTTTATATTCTGATTACACATACGATTCAATTGATTTTTAAATTTGTTGAGTACTATATAAATAAAATTAATACTTCTATCGTTTAATATTTTAAATTATTAATCAATTTTCAAATTTTTGCAATACTATACATGTAATAAATATTTATGTTGTTTAACAATTAAATTATTAGATAAAATCACTTTTCGCCTCATCAAATGGACCTGGCCTTAATATTATGTCAATAACTTTCTTCTTGCAGCATAAAGCTCCTTTCATAGAGGAGCTTGAAGAACAAATGCAAAAGCTTCACGAAAAACGTGCAGCAGCCATCATAAAAAGAAGAGATGCTGATAATGGTGACGAAATGTCAGAACTAGAACCTGCTATAGTTGCAGCAAGGGCAGCATTTAGTAAAGGAGGAAGCAATGTAGCGATAATGTCAGCAGCCACTGCTGCTGCTCAGGCTGCATCCGCTAATTCGAGAGCTTTAAAAAATTTACCCGCAGAGCTAGATGAATTTGGTAGAGACATCAATCTGCAAAAACGAATGGATACAATGAGACGGGCAGAAGCTCGGCAACGTAGGAGAGCCAAAGCTGATTCTAAAAGAATGTTGACTATGGACATTGATACCTCCTACCACCAAATGGAAGGAGAATCAAGCACTGATGAAAGTGACAGTGAGAGTGCAGCATATGAATCAAACCGCAGTGAGTTACTTCAGATTGCTGAAAAGGTTTTCGGTGATGCAGCTGAGGAGTATTCTAAACTTTCCTTCGTTATTGAAAGGTTTGAGAGATGGAAGAAAGATTATGCTTCAAGCTACCGTGATGCTTATATGTCACTAAGTGTTCCTGCTATTTTCTCCCCCTATGTAAGGGTGGAGCTTCTGAAGTGGGATCCACTTCATGAAGATTCAGATTTCATTGATATGAAATGGTATGTATACAAAGATCATTTCCCTCAACACGGTATAGAAATGCTTTCATGATGGTGCCCTCCTTTTCTCAACAGTGTAGTGACATCTGGAAGGGTCAAAACTCAAAGGACAAGCATGAACATATAACTGGCAGAAAAAGTGTAACATTTTTGCACGTATGGTTTTGTGTGTATATATGTGTATATATATTTTTAATTATTATTATTTTTCCAATTTTTTTTAATTTTCTCTCACTATGTAGTTTGATAATTAGGTATTAAATTCAGCTTCAATATGTAAGCACATAGCTGCTGCATTTTTAATCCAGTTAGTTTTGAAACATCATTTTCTCTCAAAAAGCCCTTCGGACAATAATCAATTGTCAGGATGGAAATCTTCCTTTTTAAGTCTACATATAGGGTTAACATTTTTGTGCATATCGTCATTTAATATTTTACATGATGACTTTATATAGATGACCTGTTCCCGAATCAATATTGTCACTGCACTTTTATTTCTTAGTAGGCTTTGATAGAATGATATTGTGAATCATGTACTTTTTTGATTGTTTATAGTTCTCAGGATAAATAGCATGCTTGTTTTAAGTGTTGGAGTGATCTCCTTTTTTGTGCCAAAGTCATGTATTATGAAAGTAGTGATTGATGAGAACACGTGGAATTTAGCTTATATATGCTTCTATTTGTTGGTAACACTAAGTCTGCACTACGATTAGCTATAATACAGTCATGTTTGTGTTTGTTTTGATAAATGTGTATGGTGCCCTGTATGTTCCAGGCACTCCTTGTTATTCAATTATGGTCTTCCAGAAGATGAAAGTAAAATCAGTCCAGTTGTTGATGCTGATGCTGATGCTGATGCAAACCTTATTCCCGAATTGGTTGGAAAACTTGCCATTCCTATTTTACACCATCAACTAGCTTTCTGTTGGGATATTCTTAGTACCCGTGAAACGAAGTATGCTGTTTCTGCAATGAACTTGGTCTTCAGATATGTTGATCTTTCCAGTTCGGATCTTGGGAAGTTGGTAGCCGTGCTTCGTGATCGTCTGACTGATGCTGTGGCTAACTTGATGGTACTCTCTGTAGCACGGACATTTCGATTAGGGTAGTGTGTCAGACACGAGTCGATACCGACACTTTTCGGACACTCTACCGTAATTATTTTTCTTTTTATATTAGAAATATTATATATTGTTAATTCAAAGTTATTAGCAAGTAACAAATATGTACTCATGTTTAAAAGATTTCAACAAAAAAATTAATAACAAGTATAAAACTAAATTAATACTATATAAATGAAGAATTTTTAAGAATTTAATCAACGTGTCAATGACGTGTCGTGTCTATACTTTTTTTATCCGTGTTGATGCATCATAGATGGTACTGTTGTTAAATATTTTAGCCTTACTTGGGTCTTGGGTTACATGCCCGTTCAATATCAGCTCATCATAATTGTAGCATATGATTCTCATCTAAATACTTCTTAAGGATATTTCTATATTGTGTGATTTTACATATTCAGGTCCCAACGTGGAGCCCACTTGAAATGAAGGCTGTGCCCAATGCAGCACGAGTCGCAGCATATAGGTTTGGCACATCTGTTCGTTTGCTAAAGAACATATGCCTATGGAATAAAATTCTTGCAACGCCTGTCCTCGAAAAACTTGCTCTAGATGATCTTTTGAGTGGCAAGCTGCTTCCTCATCTTCGCAGCATTCAATCTGATCTTCATGATGCAATTACAAGAACTGAGAGAATTGTTGTTTCATTACAAGGGGTCTGGGCTGGTCCAAGTGTTGCAGGGGATCGAAGGTATGTCATCACGCTTTTCATACATTTACTTGGTTCATGCACTTCTTTTATTCTTCGTTTTCCTGCCCGGTGGGGGGCGGGGGGGTGATGTATTTATGTTTTTATATGCCCTTGTGGTCCACTACCCATTGAGGGACAGTAAAAAAATTATTTCTTTTTCTAAATTATTGTTGACATGATATTTGGAGAACACATTTCTTCAAAGCAATCGAGGACTGGAAGACCACAGTTGGCATTCATACATGTTTCAAATATGAAGGTACTCGTCACGTGAGTGAAGGTCCTGACTTACCACATTAAACGTATAGAAAAGTGCACTTGTGAGGCATATATCCATGCTTTGTACAATGGCCAAAGATAACCCCTGAAAGAGCACACCAATCAACAGTGGTTAAAGTTCCTTTTGTATTTTAATTATTCATGTGTGCCTGTGAAAGTTACCTTACTGTCAATTTATAGGGTTAATAACCCAAATAGTCACTGAACTTTGCAAAAAGTTTTCACATGGTCACTGAACTTTAAAAACCAGCCAAGTTATCACCGAATGCAAAAGGTTTATATGGGGTCACTGAACTTCAGTGACCCTGTAAAAACTTTTTGCAAAGTTGAGTGACTATTTGGATTATTAACCCTCAATTTATATATCATGAAAACTTTTAAGAGAAACCTTTCCAGGAAAGGCAGTAAAAAAATTGTTTTTAGGAGGTGTCCTAAGGCTTTTGTAGCCTTCTGTTTCTAGATGTCCAATTTGAGTTTAATGGAACTGCGTCCATGTCTTCACTTTTGGCACATTTTTGACACAACAAAGGGGCCTGCTTCCCCCTCTTTGACCTCTCTGGGAGTAGTTTTCAATGAAATAGCAGACTACATGTGATGTACGCGATGTATTATGACCAGCTCTGGTTAAGACTTTGGTCTGTGTTCTGCTCAGTTTCTCATGACGGTCTTAATCACCTGATTTATACCATTGCATCAGTATGAGCATGTTTGGGAGTGATTAAAAACCAATTAAAATTGAAAATATAGCCGTTATTGGATCCCACTCGTCTAATAAAAGTCAACAATAACGGATAGATTTTCAATTTTAATCCGATTTTAATCTCTACCGAACAATAACAGCTAGTTTTTCAATTTTATGTTCTATATATTCATTTTGGAGGCTGGAATTGCTGAATAATGAGAACTAAAAATTGCCCCCAGAATCCTTTTGGGCATAATGTTTAGAGTTTTTGTATCACACAACTCAAGCAAGACGGGGTAAATGTCCGAAACCATTTATTGCAGAGTAAATTGAAACACTTGCAAGAGTTTACCGCGACAGGAGCTTTAAATCTTGTAGGACCACCATCAGGGATTCAAGTTAATTATCTCTGAACTAATTCTGGACCCCAAGAATATCTTTTCTCCAGATTCTGGAAAATGCAGGATGTTACCTGAATGTGAATTTCTATAAACTATTTCCACAAAATTCTAATATAAAATCAAGGGGAGCATTTCTCCCATGCTTTCTGTAAAGACGTGGGCTAGCAGGATAGAACAACAAATCTGAAGAAATTTAGGGATAAAAGCTTCTTTCTTCAAGTTTGGTTTTGGAAACCGACTTTAATGGTTTTTATGTACTATTAGTGTTCTAATACATGATTTGGACCAAGTGCTATATGATTTCTTTAGTAGGGGAATAATAGGAAGCCCAGAAGTAATCAATCTTCAAATTTTGTCTTTAATTTCTACGATTATGTTTCTGAAGAAACCCAGAAAGTGTTGACTAGTCTAATAATTTTCTTCTTTTCTATTTCTTGTATGTAGCCCAAAATTGCAGTCCTTGGTGGATTACTTGATGTTAATTGGAAAGTCGCTGGAGAAGAAGCTTGCGTCTGGTAGCATGGAGACAGAAATTAGTAAACTTGTTAGACGGGTGAAGAAGATGCTGGTCGAGCTGAACGAGTATGATTATGCAAGAGTATTATCGAGAACCTTTAATCTTAAGGAGGCACTCTGATCTTGATCTCTGCATCCTGTGTTTTACTTTTTCAGAATCGGGACAGCTTGAGTTTGAGCAATTTTGTAAACTTAAAATGAAATCGCATCAATGTATGTCTTTTTTAGATACAAGTGAAATCCATTAGTTGGGTGTTCCAACATGTAGCGATATGACTTGATGCCTCACATGGCCAACACATAAGAGCCTTTGGACATTCTATGAGGACTGTTGTAACCTTTAGCAATTTTTATTTTTTGGTGGCGTAGAGGACATTAAACGTTAAGTTCATTTAAACACAAGAATACGTTACCATCTAATTGGATTTATCAAATGTATAAAATAGATTAACGTTCTACCACCACCGAAGTTAGATATCATTGTTTTTTATTCTTTGGTGAATCCTGCATATATTTTTCTCTCTTTTTGGGGTGCGTTCTGGTTGCTGATAGTAATTTTGTGGGGGTTCCCCATTCATTCTTCAGGAATTTGGATCCTGATATTCGTGGCACAAAGGTTTTTATTAATGAATTCTATTAAAATGGCTTGTTAAAATGTTAGATATCATGTACGAAGTCACATTAAATCCGCACCTCTCCCTCACAACCTAAGTCTTCCTTCTCCTGTCCTCGTTGCTTGGACCAGTTCTACAGAAACATCGAACCGATACTTCTCTATAAACCTCATGCACCAGGATTTTCTTACCAAATTAATTACCTACCTCCTGAGAATGATAACTCTCAAGAAAAACGCACGGGAAATAGGAAAGTGATAACAAATTATACCATCTTCCAAATGCCTAAATTATTATGTACAAAATTCTTCACAAGGTGGTATTATATAGTAAGCATCAGATATTACTTTACGGTATACAAAGAAATTTTCCAGAACACGCACACTAGGATTGTAAGATGACTTGATAAAACTGCATTTTACCATCTAACTAGTGCTTCTTTTGCTCGAGAGTCGCAACCATTGATTTAAGGATTTCGGGTGGAATGTGATTTACCAGGTTACAAGTATACTACACATCGTATACAGGCAAACGCTCTTCAATGTACACACGGCAGATGGGGCACTTCTTGCATTTCTCGCAACAGGTGCTGAATGACAAGACGCCATTATAAAAAAATGATCAGTGATTTTAAAGATATCTGCGGCTCAAAAGGACATGGAAACACATAAGAACTCTTGAATGGAAATGAAAAATAGATGTAATAAGTCAGTAAATAAATTAAATGAATAGTCGCAAACAGAGTATACGCATCAATAAATTCAAAACAAGTCAAAGAAGGAATTAATGAGGTCAAGATTTGATTCCTTCAAAAAGTGGGATAGAAAATTAGTAGAAGGCCTGAGGCGTACAACCGAGTTTATTCTCAAGCCAAAAAGTACGATAAGCCGTTGGATCTCATGTACTGTGATACGAGGTCTAGACGGTTGTATTCTCTACACAAAGCCTTCAACTTCCAAGAGAAGTCTTCACAAGAAGTAATTGTCCTTCATAATGAATTATGTTCTAGAAAATACTAATTCTCCTTCAATTTAGTAATTCTAACCTTATAAAAGGAACAACCAACTTTGCAGATTTAGATTATGAGGGATGGGGAGGATACTCAGAATCTTCTTTAAGCACACTATGACTCACTCATCAGCAACCATGGAAAGAAAAAATAGGAGGGAATAGAAAAGAAGAGTACCAGGATATAGGCAGTACCTGCAAAGAACATGATGCCTACAAGGGAGCAGAACTACATTTATCTGTTCTCCAAAGCAAATCCTACATAGAACTTTTTCCTAATAATGCAAAAAATGAAATGAGAAATAATGTTGGTGCAAAAGCTGATGGCTGCAGTAAAGCTTTTCAAAAGACGAGTGTGAACACAAACTGTTTTCTGTGCTGAAAGCCGTACGGCAATACAAACTAATTATAAGTAAAAAATTGCAAACTTTGATTTTAAACAAGCAAGGACTCCAGCATATTAAGCACTTTTTAACAAATACTAAGTTAATTTTTATTTATTTATTTCTAGGTCAGGGGGGATCTTCTAGAGAGAGATAACACTATGTGTATGAAAAGGACAGTTTTTTATTACTTCTTTCTTAATCCATATTGATAAACATTTATTCAGGTAAAAGATGCTAAAATGATAGTGATTTGATTTATATTTTTTCTCATGACCATGTATATATCAATGATTATACAATTATACTTGTATTAACTTATTTGTGAAGCTCATGGACAGGAGAAAATAACAAGCCAATAATGGAAGCATGAAGGGAACTCATGACTTCTCAAAATCAGGAAGCAAATGAAGAACTTCTCCTCTGTTATATGGCTTCATCTTTATGTAGGGCTGATCACTGACCATTGCTATGGTCATATATATGTTGCACTATCTTTTTTCTTCTTATTCTTCGGCTAGTGGACAGACAAACTTAATCTTTATATAGGCAAGTATGTGTATGTTCATCTGTCTACAAATTATTAATGCTCATGTTCTCCATCTGTACTCGAAATTATGGAATTATTTAAAAGCCGATGCCACAGCAATCCAGTCCCACTCCTAATTCCGCTCCACATATCTTAGGTAATCTTAACATAAACTGAGTTACTCATGTATTCTCAAAATAAAATATAATAGAAAGAGTATTACATTTTGGAGTCTTTCAAATTCGTCCTGGCTAATCTTTGAGATCTCTGTTTGCTCGGCAAGTGCTTCTTGAAGTCTCCATATCTGAGAGAGTTGAGTAATACAGTGGAAACACTCAGTCATGATTAATCAAGCCCCTAGAAATTTAGATTATTGGCTCATATGAGGATTACTGGAGGGTACTATAAGAAAGGCCAGGCATTCACGAAACAAAACTGAAACTGCAAGATAATCACCTCATTAGCCAGATCTGCTTTTGGCATTTTCTTTACAGTATCTGAAGAAAATGTATTGTACCTGTTAACAAAAAAATGAATGCATATCAGCTAATTAAATAAAGAGTTGTGCTTGCTCAATACACTATTACACAGTGTCCAATAACTTTATAGCACTAGAACTTTAAGAGCAGTTATTAACACCTAGCCAAACATACAAAGTATGTAGCTATAAGATATACAAATCGTTCTATTTTTCAGTGTAACAGCTTGATATATTTAGGTAACTGGCAACAGAAATATAAGAAACCCAAGAGCAGAGTGTGATGATGTAGTCCTGATCTATTAACCAATAGATCTGGGTGCTCTAACATGATAAATCGCCCAAAGTCTTCACTATAGATAAAATTATGACTTTAGTAGGGCAAAGATACTCCAAATTTCCTTTAGTCTTCACACATCCAGGCCGACACTACAATCCATGAGAGAATAAGGAAAAAAGGGAAAAGAAGAGACACCAAATACCCTCCTTTTGTTACTCTGAAGCAATTCCATCTTTAACTTCCTCATTCTTCAGCAGATCAAATATTAAATTTACATCAATGTCGAATGGAAAAAATCATGAGCCTGGAGCCTTTTTGATGTAGATTTTTTGAGAATATATTTTGTGAAAAGTGATTTTTTTTAGGATGTGCGGTTAAAGAGTAGGGAAAAGTTATGGGTCCACGTGTAGGATTATTTTATTGGGAGAATGTGTGGTTAAAAACGAGTTGGTGAAAAAGGAGTTTTAAAGAATCCGTACCAAATAGGGGACTAGTCATATAACCTGTTTGGTCCATCCTCTATATTATAAAGGAAGAGGTTATAATAATGATGACAGAAATGATGTTTGTGTTCTACATCAAGTTCAAGATGAATTCTATCTTCAGCTAGCACTTGAGAATGATAAGACTTGTCACGATCATCATGAAATTGATGGTTATAGTTGAAATTTAAGAAAAATCATTTTGGGGTTTTGTTGAATGACTTCGACTCTAAAGTCCAAAATCCTGATTTCCTTCTGCAAATAGAGAGTTTTTGTCAACTTTTTATAGCCACTAAAAGCTGAAAAATACAGCAATTTATTCATATTCTTTTGCAGAGTCCAACGTCAGTAGGTGTACCCAGCATTTGTCCATCGACAATGCTTAGATTCCAAAACGAGAATACAATGTTAAGTGCAGTTCTGAAAAAATTTAAGGCTATCTGACAAATGTTAATTTCCTTTGTTCTCCTCTCCCTTCTGGAGAAACTAAGAAATGAAATTTTATTTGCCTTGAGAGTTGATTTTCGCATGTCATCAATTTTGCCAATAAAATTTAGCATATCACAAGATGTATTACCACCGCCAAAAATTGTGGAGTTTGCATGAACAGTACATATTAATGGAGTCATCTTATGCACCGATATTACTGAAGAGAATGTCTCTAAACATCAATTTAGAAAACTAACCCAGATTCCACAGCACAATATAACTGAGCTTGCTCCTCTCGACTTGCTTCATCAATTGACCACCAACCAAGGAACCTGATATGTAATGTAAACACGTGCATTCAAACAAAGCCTGTGCATTTTTGGAGGGGGTACAGGATCCTTCTCACACAAATTGACAATCATTACCTTGATCCATGATGCAAAAAATCAAAATAATCACGGGCGCTTTGTGATATTATAAAATGGCTTCCTGTATCACCTTCTTGGTGTAGTAAAAGCATAATTCTTTCCGAAAACCTAAAAATAGCAAACAAAAATCCAGCCCCTTGCAGCAGGAGAAGAGGAGAAAACAAAACTGGAATTGGAATATGTCTAGCACCAGGTGGCGTTCCCTGGAATTTAAAATATGATTGATGAATATATTTTTAAACTACATGTTAGTATCCAAAAGGGCCAAAACAGAGATTTTCATAACTGAACATACCTCTAAGTGCATGAACAGCATCAACTGAAAAACAATCAAGGGTATTTTCATCACATGCCCACCAATGTCTTGCAAACTGCATACTCTATTCTGTTGATCTTCATCTGAAAACGCCATTATACTGCTACTTGAGCTAAGATATCTAATACTTGTTGAAGATGAACCGGCTCTAGTAAGATGAGAACGCCTATGAAT